TGCAGGAACCCTTACAATGTCGTCGTCTGGCCAACAGCAATACCTGCAAATAATCAGAAGGAATCTCCTCCTCATCATCACTAAACTATGAACTTTGAGTCTTTTATTTTTCCTGAGAACATGTTTCTGTTATGTGTTTGAATCAGATGGGGTGATGAGTTTTTTCTCTTCTGTTCTGGGTGAGAAGAACCCCCCATTCTTCCAGGTGAGCTCTGATGGACCAGAGCAGAGCAGACGGGTTCTTGGACAACTCTTCCTTATTAATATTTATTTTTTTTACTCTTGTTTGTTATGTTGATAGTGATAAGGAACAGATATTTGCACATTTATCTCCTCCATGTGGCAGCTGAGTGAAAGAGAGAAATTGACAGGAAACCTCGTAATATTTTATGTTAAACCTTAAACTGTGCCAGCGAACTTCTATTTTAGATTAAAATGGACATTTATTTTTGCAACCTGAGGATGAGGCTATATTTGGATTTTCGTTTAAACTTCTCATCTTGCAGGATTCCATTCGGTGGTGGTTTAGGTTTCTTTTCAGTTTAAACTAACTTCTCTGTTATTCCTTTTTCTTTTTGCTTCTGTGTTTACATGAACGCAGTCATGCTGAGAGCATTTAGAGCAGAGCTCGGCTCATCTTTCCAGCACCGGGTGCTAAAGTCTAAACACACTTCCTGGACCCTCAGCGTGTGGTTCTGAGCCAGAGGGTCTTTGTTCTCGTCAGGTTCCTGGAAATAAAACAAACTGACATCAGCGCGTCAGCTGCCTCTGGCTGCAGCATTAACTCATGTTTTGAATTGTGTGAAGATGGACTCTGATGTTTGAATCTGATTTTATGACATGGAGCTCAGCGTTTCCTGGACATCAGGATGACATCATTCTGCTGTAGGTGGAAAAATAAAAACGCTCACATGACTCTTTTATATGAATGTTTTTATTGTGTTGTTTTTTTTGTTTCGTTTTTTTTTTTTTAAATAAAACAGGTACATTTGAAAATGATCTGGAGTTTTACTTCACGTTCCTGGATTATACAGCATTGAGCCGTAATGTCTGCTGAAGATGGATGCAGCTGTTCAGAACCGCTGAGACTGAGTCATCCGATCCGGCTGGGAGAAAAGGCAGATTACCAGGTCTGTCAGTTTACTGCGACGTGCGCCGATAAACTTGAATGTACTCTTTGCAGCGGAGTTGAGTCACACAGGGAATAAACAAGGTTAGGCTGTGACGCACTTGGCTCTGCCACGCCTACAGACAGGGAGATGGCTGGATTCACTGAGAGAACAGTGTTTATAAGAGCAAATGAATAGAAAGCCTTTTATTTTAAAGTGGTTCAATTTATACAGCCCCCCCGGCTGCGGGTCAGAGGTGCTCCCTGCAGGAGACTTTTAATCTGGAGGCAATTATTGGAATAAAAAAATCATTGAAAATGTTTGAAACACAAATGATTAATCTTTAAATGACCTGAATTTTTACATTTAATTATTAAAAAACAGGAAGTGTTTACAAAGACTGATCCTGGAAGGTAAAAAAAAGAAAAACTTATTTTACCTGGTGTTCTGTCAGACCAGCATACTCAGTCAATACGCATGTGCAAGATGTCAGACTTGCATATGTCTAACACTATAATTGGAAGGAAATCTACAAGGCTACTTTATTTATGCGTGATGTTATAAATACTTTTAGCCCAGGGTACAAGGTAAACAAAATTTAAAGATAAACTGCTTTAAACGTAGACAGCCTCGTTTTCTTTGTTCGCTATTTCACACTGTGACGTAACAGCTAACCTGTCAGATTGTCATACAATGGTTAAGTGTATGCTGATCTTGATAGGTGCAGATGTAAAAGAAGTCGTTTAAATGTCCCTTTCTGCATGCCTGCACATACATATTCTAGGTACGCTGGTATGCTGACCTCATAGAACACCTGTTCAAGAACCTTTTTAAACTGGAATATATTAACAATATAAATATTTATTCAAGAAAGAAAAAAAAAATCACACTAATGATGTAGAGGATATATGATGACTTGTTGTTGCAAGCTTAATGTAAATGTGGAGAAACCTGACATTTGGCTTTACTATCATTTACATGTTCCTCTCCTACAGAAAGTCTCTTAAATTAAAATGTAGAAAGCCCACATTTAATGAGGTAGATAATATATATATAATTTTCTGTTTAATGTAGATTTTAGGTTTATTATATTTTTAATCTCTTAAATAATTTTTTGGCCGATAAGAAAAAAAAGTTTAGACACCCCTGGTCGACGTGGATTTCAACACTTTTTAATGCCTCAAAGGTCCAACAAGAGCAATCACCTTTTTTCCTCCTTCAATATTTCATAGTTTTTCTGTGAATTTAGCTTTAGGTTAAAGTTTCAGAGCAAAGTTTCTGTTTGATAAAGCTTCTTGTCCTCCATATGTGGTACTTTTATTGACCAGGTCAAGTTTGTGCACCGATTGATGATCCCAAATAAAGACTTATATCAAGCTACATGAATGCGCTCCTACTTGTGGCAAGAAAACCAACCAATTCAACTCTTAAAGAAGAGCGGTAATACCGTATATCGTGCCAGATTTATAGATATCTGCAGCCCAGATATCGAACCATTATTTTTTATCCAATGTCTTTACCCAGAGAATTCACCAGTGTAGTTTTGGCAACAGTTTAAATGCCTCCTTCTGCTGTTGCCAACACTGCGTGTGATGTCATACAACATAATGAATAAATGAACCAGATGGTGGAGCTCTTAAAGTAGATGCTAGACAGGAAGTGGTCATGTAACATTTATTATCACCATAACATGACAGTGTGAGCGTACAGCAATATTTGAGTGGTAGAACAACACCTTACCAATACACAACAAACCTTAAAGATAAATACAACCAGTTTGAAGCTACAGAGGAGACGGCTTACACAGCTTCATTATCATCGGTAGGTAGCTGGAGGATCATGGGCAGGTCAAACACTGTCATTTACGATACCTAATGGTGCATTTACATTGTGCTTCAATGGAAGCCCTCAGTGCCCTCAACTTGGGCTTCTTTTGTTCACAAATGCTTAACACGAGTACTTTGCCATAAGACATGATTCAGGAACCACCAGCCGCACATTTCAGCTTAAATAATCAATGCAATCAGAAACATCTCAGCACAGTACAGCAGGCAGGAAACCCAAACAGGGAGAACAGGGTTCACCCCCACAGCTGCAGCAAAGACATGGTCAAATAGGTCCTTCCAATGAAAACATGCATTCAAACATTCACAAAGCAGCAAAACCTGCAACGTTTCCTTAAAGTAGAAAATGCAGCAGAGAACAACCAATAACACCTGGGGAAGAAATACCACAATGTCGCACTAATTTGACACCACAGGAGGAAAAGTTGGTAATAATGACATTATCTCCTCGTTTCAGATGGGGGAAAAAATCATTTGAAGCATTTATGTGCATTTTACCAGACTAAATAAGCTTCTTATGGATATTCATATAATAGACAAGTCTGGGTAAATACCAATATGATTATAAAGTAATGAGACAGAAAAACACTGAATTTTCTGTTTCCGGGTTTAAATCTTTGTAAATTTGATGAAAGAATTTTTGTTTTGTGCATCAATCTAAGGTTAGTTAACTTTATTGGGATGTATCAAACATCTATATGGATTATTAATTCCTTTTTAGGCAACCTAGAATAAAACAAGGTGAAAGCCTGATCAGATGAATCTGCAAACATATTTCTGAAACAGGAAGATTTTCTGCTTTCTCTAAATTTCTTGGCACCAGAGTAAAAAGCCTTCAGCAAATGTTCTCACCAGTCAAATCTCACATTTGAAAACAAGATGCTGTTTTTTTTTAACATGATGCTTTTCCTTATTTTCCTTAATTTGGAAGATCAACACCCATCTATTGAGTTCCCAAACTCCCTTTGGTTTAAAAGATATTAATTAAACTTCTTCTACTTCCTGATTACACCAGTAAGTAGAAAACACTTTACATCTGTTGCAGGGAAATTACTGATTCCTTGTTGCTATATTTTCCCTTTTACTGGAAGAAAAAAAACTCAAATTAAAAACATTGTGATGTCATATGTTTACCAAGAGTACCAATGATTTTGGAACAAACGGTATGACAATTTTTTGATCTGAAGTCAGGTTTAAAAAGCCAAATCTGATGTCGAGGAGGATTAATTTATAGCTCCAGATTTTGTCATAAATGCAGATGTTTAAGAGTAAAAGATATTTTACAGTCTATCCAGGTTTAAACAATGGTTAAATAACTGTGCTTTGAATGTTAGCGGAGGTGACTGACACTAAAGCTCCATTAATGGAAATTATCCCACACCGACGCTTTTTTAAACATGTTTTCTACTGTTTTACAGGACTGGGAAGTCTAAAGTCAGGGTTTGTTTCATTTCTAAACAATGTGTCACATTTTGAAACGTTCAATCATATTACATGTATATCTGTTGAAATAAAACTATAAATACACATTACTGTTCATGTTTGAGCTGTTTGGGAATAAACATAGGAGTGCTTCTATCACTTTAACAGGAGATACGAGTCTAAACTTTTCAGAGGACGTTTTATTTATTCTCTAAGCTATTCTTATTAAATGACATGTTCCCAGTTTACATCTTCTAATACATATTTTACCACATTGTGGAAGCACCACTGTCTAATCTAAACAGGTGTTCTGTCAGAACAGCATACGCTATCAGAAAGGCATACACTCAGTTTTTATCTAACTTAAATGAATTCTAGCACAATATAAACCACACCCAATGTTTTCTATCATTTTAAACATGAAAACAAAATCTAACAAATTTTAAATTCACCATACATGTTTTTTTACTACTAAAGTAACTTATTTTAAATTAATGTTGGTTATAGCTATAAAAGCTTCTTCTCTCAGCATCCCGGAAACTTCAATCATGTCCTTTTTACATTCAAGCAATAGCAGTATAATCAAAGGTGATTTTCTTTTTTAAAAGTTAAAATAAATGTGTTTTTGCTGGTCGGTACACTGCTGCTAAAATTCAGTGGGAACTGTTGCCCATGTGCGCGCATGTGTATTAGAACAAAGTATGCCGATCTGACAGGGTATGCTGTTCTGACAGGACACCGGCAGTAAAGGCGTTACATCCTATCACTAAATAATGAATACGGAGCTAAGTCATCACCAGATGTGGTCCAGATGAATGATTCCAGAAACAGTTAGGGTTTTTACCCCACAGGATCAATCCTCAAACTTTATCCAAAGTAGGAATTAAGATCCTTGTTGCCAACAAGTGAGGGATTATGTTTGATAAGCGAACAATGTTTTTCATCCATTACTGCCTTCAATGCAGGAGGGCGATGAGTCCTCCAAGGTAAAGCAGAGCGGCCTTACAGCAGTTGTGATGAACTCCTCCCGTCGAGTCGTCCTTTCTTTTCTTAGGCTCATCTTAAAAATCGAAGCATATTTGCCGCTTCAGCCCAGACCACTTCATATCTGTTATAAGCGGGAAGGATTTTAAAACTTTAAACAACACAGCAACTGTTGTTGCCTGTTGGTAAAACCGCCGTGTGTGGCTCTTATTGCAGAGCGCCATGCTAAACGCATGCCTTCATGCTAGCGAGCCGCCATGGCTACACAAGGCCAGACTGCATGTGGACGTGCAGCGGGTACGGGTGGTAGACGAGTGAGGGCTGGGCCTGAGGGATGTAGTAGCTGTTGTAAATTGGCTCTGCGATATATGGAGCCGGCTGATAGAAGCAGGTGACGTTTGCCGTGTTGGGGATGGCGTTCTGCTCGCCTAGAACCCTCAGAGCGAGGACCGTGATCATGTTGAGGGTCTGCCTCCTCTCGTGTCCCATCAAACAAACGGTGCTCTCGTCTATAACGCGGCGTAGGGTCATCAGATAATCGTACTTGCTTGCTTCCTCACTGCCAACGAAATGGCACTGGAGGTAGGCCTCGATCTTTCTCTGCTGCTCACCTACGTCTGGGAAGTCGATGAAGAAGCGGGAGCACATGTAACGCTCCAAGGACTTGATCTCAGTCTCACTGGCGGGTCTGAAGTTCCTCACAAGCAGGTCGCTGTACTTCAGCAGACCTCCTCCACGAATCTCCTCTGGGTTGTGGGTTGCGATGAGGCGGTTGCGAAGGTGGTCCATCGCCTGCTCGAAATCTCCGTACATGCACTCTGCTTCAACGGCGATGATGGACTCACCTCCTGCACATGGACTGTTTGGAAATGTTTCAACCGGCTCGGTTCTTTGATCAGTAACCCGAGACATTAAAACTGGGTTCATTTGAGTCTTTAAATCAGGAGGCTTCTTGGAGTGTTTTGGCTTTACGATTTGTTCTACAGGGCCACAAGAACTGACAGATTCCTGAGGAATAGATTCTGGACAGTATGGAGGATCCGTTGGAACGTCTGTACCCTTCAGTTGTTCTAACTCAGGACATAAACGATTGGAGCCACCAAGTTGGACAGTGTCCGGTGCCGGGGCCCTTGGCTGAAGAGGTTTCACCACCTCTATTGGAGGAAAGAACTGTGTGGTGAGATCCGACACGTCCGTCAGGAGGGACCACTTTTCCGGCTGGCTCAGCAGCTTTCGCGACATTTTCCTTTGCAGCTTTGGAGACGGGTAGAAGTTTGGCACAATGTCCTGCGATGTGCTGCAGGTTTTCTTAGCTGGGGGAGGAAAGGAGTATTCATGGTGGGGATCTTGAAGATTAGGAGGCGGCTCAGTCTTGCAGGTTTCGATGTGTATTTCTAACGTTTTTGTTTTTTCAAAGATTGCAGTTTCTTGTGAAGCTGATTGTTCAGTGTTTGCTGCACACGCCTCTTCCGTATTCTGTATTCTTGAACATGAATGTGTAATCAGCTGATCCCTGGTGCTGGGGAATAAGGTTTCCGTTGAGGCATCAGGAGGATATTCACCATCAAAGAGTTCTTTCTGTTCTGCTTTTTCCTCACAGAGCTCAAACCCCTCTGAAATGTCTTCCTCTGATTGAACGCCCACAATGCCACCCTCGTCTTCCTCCTCCTTAGGTGAGCTGTTCTCCTCAGGTCCTTCCACCTCCAGCTTTTCAACTACATCCTCAGCCTCTTTTTCTGGAAGCTCGTATGTGGAAGCAGCTTCTTCTGGGGATGGAGGATCTGTAGTCGTTACCGGTGCTCCATCTCTTTGAGGATCTGCTTTAGCATCTTGAGGAAGCGTCGATTCCTCTTGTATCTCATCTTCTCTGCCGTGGTCTCGCTTAGATGAATCTCTGGCATTCAGAGCCAGTTTTTCTTCTTCTCTCCTGTCGCTCCCCCAGTAAGACTCCAGCATACGATCCAGTATTATCTGAAAGGAGTCTACACTGAATTCAAACTGCCTCCGGAGGGAGCTAACGAACCTGAGCCCCACGGTTTTAGATCGGTTGTTTGAGAGTAAAATCAGGCTCCATCTGTCGTGCTCATTGAACACTTTCACCATCTTTTGCACATATGCTTCCTTCATAGTGAGGCAGGTTATCTTCTGCCTGTTAACCCCGCAAGGGAGGAGATCTCGCAGGCTGCCCAGCACCACCTCCTTAATCACCTGGAAGTCCTCCTGCCTTGGCAGCTCTACTCCAAATATGATGTCCAGGTCTCTGTAGCCTAGGCCGTTATCTCTCACCAGGATGTGGCTGGCAGTCGCTCCGTTCAGGCGAATGTCTTTAACCTGGATGTGCCTCTCCATCAGTCGATCCTTAACCACGCGGATGATGTCTTTGGCTCTCACCTGCAGCGTAGGGAAATTTCCTCGCCCGTGGATTGGGATCACCTCGGTGAGAACTTTGTCGAGAGCCTGGACCTGCTCTAGGGTCAGATTGTGGAACCTCTTTTCGGTTTTATGCTCCATAGCCCTCACCTGTAAGAAAGGACACACATCATTTTCATCTCACTTTGACCATCTGATGAAAATGGTTTGAATATAGAAAATGTGTCCAAATAAGCTCTGTTTAGATGTTTTCCTCCTAACATGATCCCACTGGAATTCACGGGCAATTTTTGGATTGTTTGAATAAATTGGCAGGGTATACCTTCTTTAAAGCAAAATTTCATCAGAAAACTACATTTCATTTTTAAAGCCTTTTTATTTCATTTTTTCTTCTTCCTATTTCAGAACCATTAGCAATCAGCTCCCTATAGAAACCTAATCAGTCCTGACATTATTTGTTAACATGCTCTTATAGTAATCCATCTTTTATTGCAGTCAAATAATTTCAAATTGAAATGTTTTATCTTTACTTTAATCTCAGAGTTCTAAGATTAAAGTCAAAAACTAAAACTTTTTTCCCATATTAAACTCAAATTAAATAAATAAGTTAACTTTCTTTTTCCTTTTTTCAAGTGCCCCTAATCCTCTTCCTTAAATCGATCGTGATAATGCATGATTTAAAGAAATAAACTATAGTAGAAGTGTTATAAGGCAAGGATGCTTATAATCAGAACCACAGAAGCTACAGAGGTAGAGTCGGCTGGATCCTGAATCAACAGAATCTGGGTTAATATCTTCAAATCAATGAAATCAGCAAATATGTGTTCAAGATTTAAGATCTGACCAAGAGCTGAGAAATGAATTTGAATTTAGTTTCTGTTCTAGTTTTTTATTTATAGGGGAAAAATTGAGGCTTGAATTAAGCTTCTCTTGGTTTAGCAATCACCTTTAGGGAACTGTAGTGGGAAAAAAGTATTCAACTGTTCACCCCAGTTAAATAAACGGAGATCAACGGATTTCACTCAGTCGGCACTTTATTTTCATATCTTTGCAAAGAAAACAGTTCATCATACAGCCCTTACTGCTCTATAGTCAGCCCCGTTCTGCCTGGGCAGAGTGTGTTACCCTTACTTACAACAATGGAGAGTAATCAGAGCCTAAATAAATTACAGACACTTTGGTTAACAGTAACATGTTATGAGTAATCCTTGATAAAGAATCTAGTTTGTTTTGGAAAGAAGCTGTGTCTGGTCTGCAGACACCCTCACGCAGGAGAATTGTGAGGCCTTGCAGATGAAACAGACTGAGTGAAAACTTTTATAGTGAGTAAATAGGATAAATTAATATATGAAATAAGGTAAAATCTAAATTTTCTGACCACAGGAACTCAGTTATGTTGATTTAGACGTTTTTGTAGAGAAAACAGTTTTTTCCAACTTGACATTTTAATTTGGGATCAACTGATAGAGGTTTTTTAGACTGATACTTATTATTTTAATATCAGTCTAACTGATCCCTGACTGGTTAGATTATTTTGATCAATATTAGGAGCTGATATTGCTTTTCTTTCCTCCATTCAAATCATAAAAATGACACAGAGATGAAAAAAGTCTAAATTGAAACAAAAAAAAAAAATACATTTATCAACACTTCAAACAAAATATGAACATAGATATCAAACTGCAAGAGTTGCAATGCATTCGCTCCACGTGATTTTAATTTGTGGCTGCAGAAACGCTGATAAATCAGCCACAGAAGGCAGATATCGGCCGATACCCATATAAGAAAAAAAATATTAATCATAGCATCCAGCCGATGTGTCAGTCTCTCTAAATTTAATTGGTATTAACCATAAGAAAATGAACCATAAGAGAGTGACAGTATAAAGAGAGAAATGACATCAACATGCAAACATTTAATATAACAAACACAGAATTTTTTCAGGGTGTTTAGTTAAAGAAAAGCTGCTCAGCCTATTTAATGCAGATATTATACAGAACTATAGATCATCGATTTAGACAATCTATAAATATGACTGTATATTCATCAGCAATATAATCATGATTAATCATGAACACCTGATGATTGGACAGGAAATGCTACTTTATGGCATCACTTCAAAGCATGCAGGTGAAACCAGTGTGCCGCTCTTTGCTTTGGAGATTTTAATCATCCTGCTGATTGTGATGCTGACCAGATAAATAAGGATCCTGCTTCAGCCAGCTGCAAAAATAAAAGCTTATATTCATACACAGTAATCAGGGGCGGAGCTAGATGGGGGTGCCAGGGGTGACCCTTAGCCAATCATTGGCCACCCGTCTGGCCACCCCTACCATTGTTTTCCCCCTAATAAATATTAAAAACATTTTAATTGTTCATATATTGCTTACTATTTTTTCATATATTCATAGTTACTTGATAACAAAAACGCTCTGGTTAATTATGAACATCAGTATACTAACATTAAAGATGGTAAGTACAGAATTCCTTCTCTTTTCAGAACTAGATTTTGCATTTTATGGGGTAAAGAGAAAATTATGTGTCTCTGCATTCATCTAGGAGTCTTTACTGAAATCATAGATAACTATTTTAATAAAAACTTATTAAATAATCAATTTATGTAGATATTAGTACTTGTAAATATCAATTTTATGCAGGGTGATTGTTGATAAAAGTAGGTAAGTATTGACAATGGAAAAGATGTTCGCCCCAGAACTCAAAACTGAAATTTTATCCACGTTACCGTTTATCTAAAAAGCATGGATGTTTAAATATATGCATCTATTTGTTAGCAAAGGCTGAAGGAAAGTATAGTTTGTCTTTATTTAGAAAATATGGATGTTTTGCTCCTTCATTTTCCTATTGGAACAGTTTAGATTGACCCTGAGGTTCTGGTGCTTATCCATTTTCGGCCCCTCAGTGTACATTGATTATTGCTTTATAAAAAATGTCTGGCTGCGCCTCTGACTGGGATGACAGGAAGTTGTGGATTACTAATCCAAAGGGATATTTCTCAAAACAAACAACAAACGAAATGTTTGATCTTTTCCTCTTTTAAAGTGATTGTTAAAAGATTCGATGTTTGAATTTATCTGGATTTATTAGTGAGTGAAAAAAAGGAGACATCCACATATTCAGGCATTTTACTCATCTATAGTTATTCTACGAGACAAAACAAGTTGCATCCAGGGGCGGAGCTAGATGGGGGGCCAGGGATGGCCATGGTCACCCTTAGCCAATCATTGGCCACCCCTCCCATTTTTTCCCTTTAAGACAGATAGTGGCCACAGTAATACTCTGAAGGGGAATGTTCAAACTTATTAAACATTTAAATTTTTCATATATTAACAACTACTTGACAACAGAAACACTGTGGTTAATTATGCACATATACAAACATTAAAGATGATAAGCACAGAATTCATGCTCTTTCCAGAACTTAATTTTGAATTATTTGTGTTAAAGATAAAATGATGTGCCTCTGCACGTCATCTATGAGTCTTCAGTGAAATCATAGATAAATAACTACTTTAACAATAACATAAAAATTAATTAAATGTGAATATTAGTAGATGTTGTGCTCATTGAGGTTGGATGTTGTGCTCATTCCTGTTGAAAGAGTGTAGATTGACCATGGGTTCTGGTGCCTCTCGGCTAGGGTGGCCAGATGTCCGGCTTTAGGGATTTTCATTGCGCATTCTGACTTTAATCTCAGAATTCTGACTTTTTTCTCAGAATTCTGACTTTTTTTCCATACTAAACTGAAATAAAATTTAAAAATCAGTTAACTTTTTTTCCCCATTGGCCCTAATCCTCTTCCGTAAAATACAAATGCTGGGAACCAATTCTTTTTTATATATTTCTTTAATATTTTGTTCTATTCAGCTACACAAGCATCCTCTTTAAACTACTAAGAATTGTACTATAAATGTGACTTTACCCGATTCTTATGTACACCTTAGTAATTTATTGATATGCCGCACAATGTCCTCCTTTTTGGTGCTATAGAAATGGCCACCCTACTTTTGACCCCTATTAGGATTTTCTTGCTACGCCTCTGGTTGCATCAAAGAAACACAGATTAAATTTTGGATGACCTAGGATTGTCTGTTTGCTCAGTCAGACAGGGATTGTTGTTTTTTTTCCTGTCAGTGGCAGGTTATCCACCCGGGGCGCAGGGACTGGGGGCCCACAGCAGCCTCTAGTGAATCTCAGGGGTTACATCCTGCAGCAGGACTGCTCCTCTGCCGCTTGGCTTCTTTATAGATAAGACTCTATGAGTCATACAGCCGCTGAACAAAGCGTCACTCATTGGCTCTCCTGGATTATTTCCATGTGCGCAAAAACTACCCGAAATGCGCCACTTTGACGTGGCATCAGAGCCATCCGCCCGTAAACTTGACATGCGGGCTGTTGCATTGGTGTAATCTACCTGCACATGGAGTCTGCTTGCAGGGGTCACTTTTATTCCCCCGTGTTAAACATGTTTATAATGATCTGAATCCAAACGTTAATTATCTAATCCAAATGCATTTGTTGTTTTTAACTCAAAGTTTAAGAAAAAAAAGCTTTAATTGCGTTTATCCAAAATGACAGACATTAAAAACTCACCTGGTTGGTTGTCAAATATCAGCAAAAAAATTTAAAAAAAGTAAAATATTAAAGAAAAATGAATATCCAACAGGTTTACTCGACCTTGTTGGGAGGTTGAAGATGAAGTTAAAACGGACAGTTTCCTCTCAGCGCAGCAGTGTTGTTGCCATGGCAATTAGCCGTCACGAAATCCACGGTGAATCACGACTCCGCGGGTCAGTGGAACTACCGGGAGATCAAAAAAAAAAAAAAAAAAAACAAGTTTGAGGAAAAGCCCGAAAAGGCCTCAGGAAAAAAGGGGGTAAATTTTAGAGTTTGATAAAGTTTGGAGCTGAGCGGACACGTCGGGATGAACCGCCGCCGCACTGCCGAGCTGTTGCGGGGTGAAGCTCACATCAGACGGAGTGAGTCATCCTCCCTCTCCTCCCGGTTCTGACCAGGAGGAGCTCCCTCCGCCGTCCGCCGCCTTTCTAACTCCTTCACACCCACAGACACCAAAACTCTCCTCCCAATCTGCTTCTTCTCTTCTTTATTTGTTTGTTTCAATTTATTTTTCATTCACGTTTTGAGCGAAAGGGGCGAAGCCAAGTAGCTGTGACGTTTGAATTGGAACACCGATACCACGTGACGATGACGTAGACGATATTTTGGTCAGAAACCAGGAAGTGCGGAAGAGGGCGAAGCGACCGAAACAGAAGCTCAAGTCTCAACAACTTTTTTTCTTTTCTTTAGCCGTTTTGGTGTCAGAAGAAGCAGCAGCTGAAGATGCCGAGCATGGAGAGTATCCTTCAGAGCGGTGGGAAGGCGGGAGGGCTGCGGGGAACCGAGGGGGAAGGCTGGGGCTTAAACCTGCCAGAGCAACACGGTAGCCTCCAAACGAGGACATTTATCAGTCACAGATGTTTGAAACGTTCCTGCCTGCGTTAGAAAGCGATGAAAGTTTGACCGGTTGTTCTGTTTAAAAGGTTAAACATTGATGAAATTCTTCAGGGGTCTTTCATCTTTGCCTGAGATGCGTTCAAGGCCTCAGAGCTAACATCGGTAAACAGAATAACGACTGAATCATTTGGTTTCTGCGATACTTTCTCCTAAAAAAAGTTATGTTATCAACTGACACCACTTTTAGTCTCCTAAAATGTTTTTTAAGCCATCTTTTCTGGGAAATCAGTGTAAAAGTGTTTAAACTATATGTTTACCATAACTAGGCTAAAAGTAAGCACTGTGTTTTCATTTGTTAGCTAATAACTCGCACATAGCTTGGATATAAATACTACCCAGTTACCATCCAGTTATTCCGATATTATTTAGCTGATATTTAAAGTTTTTCAGGATAAATGTCTGGATCCTCCTTTACTTTTACTCTTTTATTCTGATCGTTATTAATCAATAATAATAAGTAGATCAGCTGTTTTGTCCAACTATTTGTTTATCGCCTAATCAGTGCTCTTTTGTGGACAGACTACGTACGTCATGCTGTGACCATACTCAGAGCTGAATGACGTCATAATGGATGGTATAGGGGAAAAAATGTAAAGTCGAGGGATTTTCAAATATTTCTTAATAGTAAATCAGAAATGTTCCCATAAAAGATCAGATCTCAGTCTGATCTCTGAATGAAATAATAATAATTAATGAAAATATAGAAAATGTTCAAACATCGTGGATATGCTGGTGAGGATTCTCAGTCATCCAGGTCATATTCATTCTAAAAATAGTTCAAATGCAATCCACTGGACTTTGTTTCCAAGTTTGAAGACGTTTCGCTTCCCATCCAGGAAGCTTTTTCAATTCAAAATGTCAGAATTAGCGTTGAGTTCGAGGCTTTATAGAGTGGACCAAACGCCATACAGGGGACCAAAACACCTTGTCTGTTCAGCCAGGCCAACAATTCCCCCTAACAACTAGCCTGACGTAGTCCTACTCAATTCTAGTCAGAATATGAGTCTGATACTGCTCCATAGAGCTGTGATTATGGGGCGTGTTTTGATCGAACCAGGAAAAAAAATGCCTCTGCACTCAATTGGATAGACCTACAACCAATAAGAGCAACGGAGTGCGTGACGTATGTTAAGCCACGCATAGTTGTTGTCAACAAAAATCAAAGCCTTGATGATGAGCCTTGATCGCGTTTCTCTGTTCCTCTTTTAAAATGAATTTGCTGTCGATATCTTCTAGAACAAACCTAATAGCAGAATCTACTCACCTCAACTCTCCGGCAGCAGCCATTGTTGTTGTCACCCAAGCGCGCTTTGGTCACGTGGTTGATCACGTTACTGATCATCTGTCCATCATCGTATAAAGCCCTCCCTGACAATTTGATTGGATCACCAGAGAGTGGGCGATAATACTCACGCTACTATGGTGCAATGCCAGACCGAACTTCCCAACCTCAAACCTTGTGGGCGGGATTAAGTTCGGAATGGCACCCAGGCTACCTAACAACCCCCTTCAGAGACATAGACAAGTATTGGTTATTGTAGGCTAACAAAGAAATCAAATGACCCCCATTCCGAAGGGGCGGACCCGTTCATCTGGTTCAATTTGCATGTTTCTAAGCCAAAACAGGGCTTTGTTTTGGTCCACTCTACAGAGCCTTGAACTCAACGTTCTTTCTGACATTTTGAATTGAAAAAGCTTCCTTGATGGGAACTGAAACTTCTTCAAACTTGGAAACAAAGTCCAATGGATTGTTTTTTAACTTTGTTTTGGAATATCATGGCTGTACAATTCTATCTATACATGCAGTACCCTATAATATCCGGGAATGTCACCATAACAACATGACTTATTTAATAAAGACAAGGATTGAACTTTTTCTTTCTACTTTGTGATCACAAATAAAATAGATCTCAGGATATGACTCTTCTCTATAGGTACCTCGAAACCTTTTAAATTCATAATTTTATATTTAGTCAACAAGATTTTTTTCTTAGAAAACATTCCTTCTGGTTTAGTTTCACCTTCTTACTCTATCAGAGATTTTATAAATTAAACAATGCGATCCACTCAATTTAAAGAAACAGCTTAGAAAACCTAAAGGCGCTGAAATGCAATGATTAGCTAACTAATCAATGAAAAATATAAAATGAAGATTAAAAATCTACTTTCTATATAATTACATGTATACATACGTTCATTTTTAATGGTTTCCTCATCATCATTTAAAGACAACAAATAGGTTTTTTTTTTTTTTTTGATAGAAATTTTTATTTCCTATAAATATTTTGCCTCCATCAGAAAATATTGTACATTTTCAGCTGCATAAATAACAGGAAGAAAAATGTAAAGTGGTTCTTTGATAGATTTTCACATTAATTTATTTACTCTACAGAATCCAGCCTGAAAAATCCTTCTGCTTTGATTAACCAATCAAAGCATTGGTGCTGATTGGACGTTTTAATGATGTCATATTAAAGTAAGCGTTTATTACCGCAGGTTTGCTGCTATGAATTAAATAATAATAATATAGCGCATGCTCTCCTGGAGCTCAAAGGAAGTTGTAGCAGAGCGAGAAGGGAGGAACCATGGAGGCTGCAGGCAGTCTGAAACGGAGGGGGGCGGATACCGAGGATGTGGGATGTCGGGGTCAGGGAAATGCAGTTAAATTTAGAAATAATGATTAATAGTTCAAGATCCAGAATAAAAAAACCTGAATAATATCTGATTTCATGAGAAATGAGACTAGAACAGGGCTGGGTATAAAGTCTGGATGTTGGTGTTCAGTGAAGAGGACCTCGAGCTGCCGAGGCGTTTACATGTAACTGCTAAGTTGATGGATGCGTGGGTAAGCATCCTTATTGATGCTGATATCAGTGACAGCACTGCTGGGAAAGAATGCTATGAATTTGATTGATTGGTCGGTGATTGATTGATTAAATTATTGACTTAAAATTCAAGCTGATTTAATCTAAGCTTTGCAGAGAAATGGTATTCAGGTTTTAGAGCTGTCGTTCATGTTGTAGCATCAAGAGAATGAAGTTAAATCCAGTTATATCCCTCAGTGACATCTATCTGATCGGGTGGATATTTGATGTCCAGTCCCTGCTTTAAGTGGCCTGCTGCTCTTAATGCCACGACCGTGGACAGATGTGTTCCCTTTAATCAGCCTGGCCCTTTAGAGGAGGATTATAAAGAATATTATCTCTGTTTTTTTTGTTCTGTATCTTCCTATTTTCTTCCTATAACCTGGTGATGAATGAAGATAATAACTTTTATCCTGACAAAAGGGGAACTCTGCTTAAACTAATATGATTCCTGAAAGAGATGAAACTAATCATTAGCATCTATATCTGATAGCATCATAGTATTGGTTGGAAAATGGAGCAATATCCACATCTAGGGTTTAAACCTGAACATCATCCTGCTTTGCTTTCTGGTAGTTCTGTGGTTCTACCAGCAGATGGCGCCACATCTGTTTATGTCTGCTTAGACCTGGAATTACACTTGGGCTCCAAAAGGGTCTGAACACCATCAGGACAGACGCTTGGTGAATAAAACAGGATTTAATCAGGATCAGGTGGTTTTTGGTCTTTTTGTAGAGGAATATAACAGGACAACAAAACTTTAAATGTTGCAGTGACTCGTAGGTTATTTTTTTAAACGAGTATCTACTGTAGAGGTCTGTCTTGCTCTGAATCTGCAGAAGCCTCTGACTGAAGACACTCTCTTGTTGTTTAACAATCTGATGAAGAGAATGCTCACTATTGTCCACAACTTTCTTCTCTTATTGAATAATTCTTCTTTGTGAAATAATCTCCAGAGGTTCTAGAGGAGTTACTCATTTGAGTTTCACAGTCTTTTTTTAAATCTGTATGCTGGTATGGCCAGAAAGTCTAGCAGAGAGACGCTTGAGTCCGAGTTGATGGAAGAGATGGCTTAAATTTCTTCTTCCTCTCACTTCTCTTTGCTCCCGCTCTGCATCCCTGGTGTTTCATTTTCAACTCAGCTGGTACTTGCGGAGGTAACTGATGTATTGTTTCAGCTTTAGAGATGGTAAAGAGCTGCTCCTGGGTGTAAAAAAAAAAATGAACTTGCTATGGTTGCTGTGGTTACGCACCATAACAAGTATCTAAAAGGACAAAAATATTAGTGAAAATCCCTCCAGTTTCAAAGTATTCATCAACAGATGCGAAAAACATCAGAAAAAAGAAACTCTGATCCAAAAATTGAGCAATCCAAGTTCTCTTAAAAAGAATAACAAGGCAAGCTAGCAGAGCTACTCCAACCTGCAGCCACTTTAAACAACACTATTCTAAAATATGCCTTTGACTGAGAATACTGTTTTTCTTCTGAAGCTGTTTAAGTTTGCATCGGCCTCCTCTGCAGATTAAACTGTTTATGCTCATGTATGATCCGTTCAGGTTTTAGTTGTTGATGGTTTTATATATTATGCAAAAATGACACAAAGAAAGGCTTGAAGCACGTCAGCATAAACAGGAGGGCTGCACCCGTCTATGAAGCTAGTATAAACTTTATGCATTTGAAAGAAATTGCTAGAAGAAAAACATATAGAAAATATAAAACACAAACATACTTTTAATTATTGATATATAAACCAATTTATGAGTGTTTTTCATGTTCAGGGTGGAGACTATGCTCGACTGAGGGGTTTGGTTCCTTTGCTTCTTGTTGTTTCTCCTTAACTTCTCCTCTCAGAAAATCTCTTCAATCTAAAGTTTGCAGCCAAAGAGCTCCAGAGAAACGCAAAGAAATGTGATAAAGAGGAAAAAGTTGAGAAGGCCAAAGTGAAGAAGGTAGGTGGCGTTTGTCCCGCTGCGCCGGCCGCGGATGTCAGAGGATTTCACCGAAGCTCTCCTTTGTCTGCAGGCCATCCAGAAGGGGAACATGGAGGTGGCCCGGATCCACGCGGAGAACGCCATCAGACAGAAGAACCAGTCGGTGAACTTCCTGAGGATGAGCGCTCGGGTTGACGCGGTGGCGGCGAGGGTCCAGACGGCGGTCACCATGAACCAGGTACGGCGTGTTTTGACCTCCTGTCAGTGGCTGATCCACCTGCGGCTTTTAATGGCTTCCCTCTCATAGGTCACTAAATCCATGGCTGGAGTGGTGAAAGGCATGGACGCCACCCTGAAGAGCATGAACCTGGAGAAGGTATGGGGCGGGGCGGGGGGCGTGTTTTCACCTTTGGACGGGTCGTCAGGCTTTAAAGCGTCCCACTTCTCTTCCTTTAGATCTCGGCTCTCATGGACAAATTCGAGCATCAGTTTGAAACTCTGGACGTTCAGACGGCCCAGATGGAGGACACCATGAGCAGCACCACCACGCTCACCACGCCACAGGTGACTTCCTCTTCTCAGCTCCTTCTGCTGCTCCGTTTCAGAACCGTTTGCTTCAATCCAACCTGTTCCATGTGTGTTTCAGAACCAAGTGGATTCGTTGCTGCATGAGATGGCAGATGAAGCAGGGTAACCTTCCTCTTTCCAGTCCTTAACCCCCACAGATCAGTGTTTAATGGTCAAGCTTTAAATGTTCAGTTGAGGAAATCTGGATGGGAAGTTTTCCAGAAGACGTTTCTCCTCTCATCCAAGAGGCTTCTTTAGTTGGATAAAAGGCGAAACATCTTCCTGAAAACTTTCCGTCCAGTTGACTAAACTGAACGTTTGAAAGAAGGAAAGATAGTTTATTGGCCTGTAAGTTAAGTGTTTTGGTCAGTCTAATGGGTTAAATGGTTAATATTTGGTTTCTGTTCAGTTTGGACCTGAACATGGAGCTCCCCCAAGGACAGACCGGATCAGTGGGTACCAGCGTAGCCTCTGCAGAACAGGTACCGCTGCATGACTGCTTTAAAAAAAAAAACACCTTTATTCTCCTGAACATGGAGCCAAATAAAAGCCGCTCTCTCTTCTGTTCTCAGGACGAACTCTCCCATAGGCTCGCCAAGCTCCGAGACCAGATGTAAAGAACCTGTGCTGTGGAGCAGAACCGGAACCCAGAGCTCTACTGATACACACTACCTGAATATAAACATATTTTCCCTCTTTGTTTTTTTACATATTCTGTGTGGTGAGCAGCTACTGTCATAAATAATCTCCTCCTAAAGCTAACGGCTCCTCTTGGTGTTTCATTTCCAGCTTTATAATGTTTACTAAATTAGAAATTGAAATCAGAAAGGTTTTAATAGAATAAAAGGTTTGATTCTGGAGGAAAAGGAATATTTATAAACCCTTCAAATATAATCCCAACAGGAAAAAGGAGATTTATGAGTTTTTATTTATCTTTCATTTTCAGAAATGCTCTCCAGGTTTTGTATAAAAGTGGGATGTGTTTCGCGTTGATCTTTACCCCTTCCATTGATGAACTGACCTCTTTTCTGATTGATTCTGTTTTCTTTGTGGTGAAGGAGGTCCTGGGAGGTTACGTCGCCTTCCAAGGGTTTCCTCTCATTGTTTGGGAAGGGTTCAAATTAAGAGAACAAACAATAAAGTTTTATAATACTCAGATAAACTATGTCTGCCTCTTTTTTTTAAAAGCGATCCACTTTTGGAAGGAAAAATCCCCCCAAATACAGAGGAAATACATTTTTAGTTTAAAGCACTGTTTTAGAATCAGACTCAGTAGAGGAAGCTTGATACCTACAGAATAAAACCATATTTAAAGAGTGGTTCTGTTATGTTTTTACTTATCTTAAATCGAAACTCTTCTGTTTATAAAAAACTTTCATGTTTCTGATTCATTTCCTCCATCCACACAATGTCAGTTTTTTCCCCTTCCTATTAACATGTTAAGTTCAAATTTCTTTAGTCTTTTTTTTTTTTTGGCTGCAGTCAAACATTTGATCTGCTGAGCATCACCTCCATCAGACATGATCTGTCCTGCAGACAGACAAACCAACGCTGGGCCCAGTTCCTCCACTCAGTCCCAGCAAGAAAGTCATCTTTATTTTTTTCTTTAATCTCACGTTGAGTCAGATCCCTCTGTTTCTGTCCATAATTCGTTACCCTGCTGTGTTTTAAAAAGTCAGTTTCTTTGTGAATATAAACTCCTGCTGTTTTTGCAAATTATAAAGCTCTTTCATATTCAGCCTCATCCACAAAGTCTAGTTTGTTCTTATTTCCCCTCTTAGTCAGAACTGAAGCTTCTCTTCTATTTTTTCTGTGGATGACTACACTTTTTTTATTCATCCATCTCTCTGTTTATTTATTTCTATATTTGTATGTTTTTAAGATATAGATAATAGTGTTTTGCTCATTTGGAGCCATGTATTCAATTGTCTTTTTCCTCCTTACTGGTCAAATAAAGTGCTGCGGTTTGGAAGAGGGAATGGCTCATTTAAAACAACATGCACAAATGAATTATGACCACAGCCGAACCAGTTTGCTTCAACTACTTCCTATTGATACGTTTATCTATGATTTAACCAAAAGACCTTCATTAAGTTTACTTTTAAATGAAATCAAGACTTTAATATGAAGATCATGAATGGAGTTTCTGGATTTCTGATGGAAATTAAGAACATTTAAATCTGTGACTTAATAAAGACCATGATAAGGGAAATATTAGTTTACTTCTGTTGTATAAATGATGATGCGAAGGAAAGATGAAGTGTTCCTCCATTTATTGACCTCTTCAACTAAAGGTCTGTCTTTCAAATGAAGGAAAACCGTTTTCAACCAAATCTGAATTTCAGGAATTTACAAAGAGGATCTTCAACAAAATAATATCAGAAAATTTCTTCCAACTTCAAGAGAATATAACAAGTAAAAGTACAACATGTACACATAAATAGGTAAAATGAACTAATATGTATTTTTAAGTGTCTTTGAATACAGTTTTCTTAACACATTCCCAAAAATACATTTGAATACGTATAGTAATGAGGCTGTTGGTGCAAAAAGAAAAACAAAATGGAAAAAATATAACAAAAAGATCAGCTTATGAGTCATTGTTTTAATCTAACGTCGAGAAAAAAGGGATCCAAGCGAATCTCAGTGAAACTTTATTTTCTCAAAGTCTTTCATTTAATCTAACAGTACATGAACAACTGATCTGACAGTAATGTCTCAAACAAAAGAAAAGCAAACAAAAGTCCTGCAGTTTACTAAAAAGAGAAACTTAGACCAATAAATAAATCATACATTACAATACATCGACTAAATAATAAGCCTTTTCCTGATGTGTTTGTCTGGTTAAAATCCTCTCCTAGCATTTGAATAAAGTTATTATAAAAATGTTCAGCTTAATCTGATCTATAAAACTCATCCACTGTGGACTACAGTCAGCCTGTCAGACGCTACTGAGGGATTACAGTGTTTGGGTCGTCATGTGACGCTGGCGTAAACAGGAAGCAGCTGATTTTTTTCCCCCCTCTCAGTGATGTGTGTTACTGTGTCCTTTAGGAGTAATATCTCTGTGTCTCCGGGCTTCCCTGGACACCAGTAGCCGCTAAGGCCTTTAGAGGTAAGGATGAAACACGACACCAAACTTTAAACAGCACAGCTTAGCCGTTAACTTTGGTAGCCTAGCCTCGTTAGCATGATTAGCATTAGCTAAAGTGAGCAGCCGGAGCCAAACACACAGATTTAATTAACTTAGTCGGTGAGATTATTTAATTTACTTGTTTATAGAGTATAGTTTGTCCGATCTGATGTTTTAACAGTGGGATTGTTTTATTGCGGAAGTAGGAGCGGAGTGAAACTGCTCCGCAGGAGAAACAAACCCAAGTCATCTGACCTGCAGCTCAGAGGAACCTCCAGCATCGTGTCTCCTCAGGGTTATGTCCAGCTCAGCCATGAAGAAAAAGGTGAAGCTGCTTTCCTCACCTCTCATTAGCAGGGCTGTCAACTCTCACCCATTGGGAGTGAGACTCACCCATCTCAGTGTCTTCACTCTCACTCCATATTCCCAATTTCTCACACTAATAATCTCCCTTTGGAAATTAGGAGTAATTAAACCAACCCACAAATTTTAATTCTTAAAGCTTCCAGGTTTGCCTCTCAAACCCATAGGAGCCATTGCATTTTATTTTTCAAAAGATCAGCCACTAAATAAAAGACCAACCACATTCAGAGAGGATGTGCAGAACAGCTCACTTATCCTGGATTCATAGAGAAGAAACCACAGGGATTTTTTTCTTTTGTTATTACTTATCTTATTCATTTATCTTTATTTTTGTCCATTGAATATGTTTAAAAACTTAATTTTCATCAAACCTTCCAAACTGAAACATCCAGAGAAGTGCTGTCTCCTATATTTGTGAGATTTTATCAAATCTACAGCCTCCTAGAAGGTCTGAACTGTTTAACCGTTTTGTCAATTGTAAAAAAAATAAACTAATAAGATAATAACTTAAGATTTTTAATCCTTCGCCTATTACCAAATATTCATACACAGTGTAGTTTGCATAGGTTTCGATTGCACTGGTTCCTGTATCAGTGCCAGTAATGCAGTAATAGCTTATTAGTTCCCCATTATTTACTTGAGCTGCAGAGAATAATTAATGAACAAAGTTGTGAAATTCTTAGTTTAAAGTATATTTAAGATGCAAGTATTTTAGTTGGGCACATTCTGCTTTACTGCAATTCTCTAAAAAATAACCAGAATGTTGAAAATAATGTATATTGTGAGGAAAATGTTTCACATAATTATAGATCACCGCTACTAACTGTGTTATAAAAACTCCACATTTTGCCACTTTGTTTCAGTTAAATCCTCTGAATTTAAGGCTCTGAATCCTCCAACCTATAGCTGCACCTGTCCTCATCTAACCCTGACAAGGTTTCCTGTCCAAACTATTTCAAAATCTCACCCCAAGGTTTGGTGAAAAGTTGGCGGCCCTGCATTAGTTTTGCACTCATCTTTCTTTTCAATATGACGTCTTTACCTTCTGTTGTTGGCTTCACATAAACACCCAGCTGACATTTAAACAGACCAGACTGCCTCAGCACTTTATGTAAACACTCCATAGACAGTTGGGTTCTCCAGTGTAAATGTCTAATGCTGTTTATCTTCCATAATTTTCTCATAATGATGTTTTCCGGTTTCTAGGTTTTACTGATGGGGAAGAGCGGGTCTGGAAAGACCAGCATGAGGTCCATCATCTTTGCAAATTACATAGCTCGAGACACCCGCCGCCTTGGAGCTACAAGTAAGATAAAACTCAAATTATTTAACACTTAAACATTAGTAGCTGATGTTTTACAAATTGAAATGAAATAAATGTCCTGTTTCCTCCAGTTGATGTGGAGCACTCCCACGTTCGCTTTCTGGGCAACCTGGTCCTAAACCTGTGGGACTGTGGAGGGTAAGGCCTAAAGTCTTGCTGTCCTTTGCAACATTTTGACACCCCCTCCACTGTTAGTTTAAAAACTAGATTCATTTCATCCTTTTTTACCCACCAGGCAAGACACCTTCATGGAGAATTATTTTACGAGCCAGAGGGACAACATTTTCCGAAACGTCGAGGTCCTCATTTATGTGTTTGACGTCGAGAGCCGTGAGCTGGAGAAAGACATGCACTACTACCAGTCCTGCCTGGAGGCCATCTTGCAGAACTCCCCCGACGCCAAAGTCTTCTGTCTGGTTCACAAAATGGACCTGGTTCAGGAGGACCAGAGGGATCTGGTGAGCTTTATACATCGCCTCCAGCTTCTGTTGTGTCGTCGGTACTTTCTGCCAATCTAACAACTGAAGTAAACGTAAAGAAATGGCAGATGTGTCTCTAATCACCACCGTTCTGGTCAAATTTGTCTTTTATTTGACTTCATCGCACAGCTGAACTTCACCCATTCAGCATTTTTCTTACAGTCAACTGTAACATTGAGTGTTTTTTAGGGAGGTGAAAAACATTAAACCTCTGGAGACAGAATCAGTGAGATGATCAAATCAAGCTAACAGGCAGATAAAACAGATCAAAACAGCGAGGAATTACAGTGATCAATCAAGGATTGTTTAGATTAGAAAGGAGACACTGGAGATAACGGCTATATAAGATTAGTAAAACAGCAATAAAATAATAAAATATAACCATATAATAGAACAGTTTTTACAGTTGAAATAAGATGATAATCATAAGATAAGAAAAGTTATAAAAAAAAAAAAAAAGTCAGACTGAGGAGATGTGAAAGCTTTACTTTCAAAAACATCTAAGCTCTCAGCAGGTCCTCAGGATGCCTGTTTCATGAGAACTGAGGGTTCTGCAGGGACTGCATGACAGAAACAGACTGATGGGGAGGAAATTGGAGACTATAGATGGAATCTGATGTGAAGCGGATTCATCCACAACTTAAGCTCTAAAATTCTGTTTCAAAGGTACTTCCTACGTTCTGAGAGTTTAGTTGATGAAGAACCTAAGGTGGGTCTGCTTTCACACAGAACCAGGTATCAGTCTGCAAAGCAGCTGGTAGAGGATGATTTTATAGGTGGACCAACAGCCAGCAGAACCAGATTAGAACCAGTCAAAAACCTACGGATGTGAAGCAAAAACATTTTTTTATTTAAACAGAAAGCTGTTATTAAGGTCTAATAGATGAATCCAGCTCATCAGAGATGTCCATTTATAGGTCTATTTCTAAGGTAACATTTATTTCAAAAGTCTTGGAAAAGATCTGTTTCTCTTAGCTTAAACATCATCTGGAGGAAAATGAACTCCTTGAAATATTTCAGTCTGGGTTTAAGGCTCCTCATAGCACTGAATCAGCATTGCTACGAGTTTTAATGATATTCTATCAGCCTGTGACTCTGGTAGCTTTTAGTTCTGCTTGATCTAACGGTAGCTTTTGATATGGTTGACCACCATATTCTAAAAACACGTCTGAATCATTTAGCAGGGATCCAGAACACCGGATTATATCTGATCAACAGTCTAAGTCTATCCTACGGAGTCCCACAAGGCTCACTTTTAGGGCCCCTTTTCTCTGTATTTGCTGCCATTCGGTTCCATACTGAGAAGACATCTCCCTGCTCCCTAAAGCAGGGAGATGGTTTTTCAGTGAAGTCCTCATTGAACTGTTTAGACATTAAAGCCTAGTTGGTCCTAAATTTTTTCATTTCAATGAGAAGAGAACGGAGGTTATAGTGTTTGGACCTAGTGACTCCGCTGCTATAGACCTAGGACCCCTGGCACCATATTTTAAATCCACCATCACAAAGTTGGGTTTTAAGATGGACAGTGATTTAAATTGATTTAAGTTGTCAGATCTTTCTTTTATCAGTTAAGACAATTGGCAAAACTAAAACCTTTACTGCATGGCAGCCCTTTGAAACAGTTATCCTTGCTTTTATTTCATCTCTCAGTTTCAGGTTTTGCTGTCTCGTTTACAGCTGGTGCATAACAAAGCTGCTGGTCTTCTAACTGGAACTCCAAAGTATGATCGCATCACTCCTTGCCCTTTGTTGGGAGTCACACTGATAGCGTAGGTTAGGAGGGTTAGTGGTGAGGAGGCGGTTCGGGATGCAGTCAGTCTGTCAGGGAATGACTCTGGACCTGCAGCTTTATGCTCATGAAATCGTCAAACATCAATATTCTGCTTTTGGTGCAAAGAAAAAAAAGAAAAATCCTTATATTCGTCAAAAAGAATCTCTATTGTGCCAAAAGCATTGAGCCCTGTTTAAATTAGGAATCCCAAATTCTGTCAGGTTGGAGGGTGCGCTACTGATCTGCAGTTTCTGATCCTTTCAATAGGTGTGGACTTTGACTAGGCCACTCTAATACATGGAGCTCCTGAGTTTCATCTCAGGCTGTTTGTTTATGGCTTTTGTTCTGCTTGAAGGAGACCTTTTGTGTCTTCTCTGTCTGGAGAGCTTCTGCTCCCTTCACAAGAAAGCTGCTTTTTTTTTTTTTTTTTTTTTTAAAAACCCGTGAAGTGTTGTTCAGATCAAGGTTTTT